ATAAGATAAATTTTGACCAGTGTTTGTTTTTTTTAACTAAAAATCATAAAAGAATGATAAAAAAACGAGATTTTTCACATAGGTTCTCCAAAACCTAAGCCACATTATGACATAAATTTTATGTACTTTCGTTATGTGGCATTTTGCGTAATTATCGAAAAACATCGTCCGAATACTTTTTGGAGGGCAGTGTATATAAAGGAAAACGTTATACTTGAGGAATGAGAGATGGTACTTCTGTATCTGCATCTGCACTTTCACCCTATTGTTGGTTGAAATGGCTAAAGATCAGCTCGAGAAGAACTCTCTAGTAATGGTTAAAATAGAAAGGGAAATAGAATTTCAAGAATGGTATATATACATAAAAAAGGTGTGTTTCTGATATTTTGCAATGTAGTTAGTTATCCACAAAAAATATCCGCAATCGCCAAATTGATTTCTAAATAAGGATAACACGCACCCAACCCACCAATTAAAATTGGATATTCTCATGATGCTGCGCAAAATTGCGGATGCAGTCCCATAAAAAGCCTCAAAAGTTGGTGAGTATTTCTATGTTTATTCTTAAATGTATTTACAAAGTTCACATTGTGAAGAATCATTATTTAAATATTAACAAATGCCCTTGATTTTTTAAATCCATCATCATCAACCATTTTTTAAATTAGTTGCACGAGGGACTTTAAATCTCAAGGGCCCGGCCCAAAGAGCTGATTAACGTGTATTAGATAAAATAGATAATATGATCCTGATTTGTTATTAGGTAGGCCATGCTAGCCTTTTAATAACGATACAGATAACTTGAAAAGTAAAGTTTAAAAATCCAAGTAATTAGAATGTTTGCCGCATATGATTATTCAATACCCGTTATATGAATAGTTAAAGAAGTATCTCCACAAAAGTAATAATAATAATAATAACAATGGACAATTCTTCTGCGGAGACAAAGAAATCTATCAGATGAAGAAGCAGAGTGGAAACATTTTCCTGCAGAGCAGAAATACAGTCGATATATTGATTCTCATATATGAAATATATGAAATAAATTTTCACAAGTTATATATATATATACAGTCAACTTACATTAAATTTATAGCATCACATGTCCAGGAACTTTGAATAAGATGTCAAGCATTGTTTTAGCCGAGTTGGGTGAGTCAGTCAAATAACTTAATTACGAATATATCATTTCTACTTTATTCAAAAGCACATTTAAAGGGTTGAAATACTTCCAAAAGTATTGTATGTATCACAATTTACAGGTTTTCTTGTGTCCATAAAACTTCGTGGGAAAATCTGTTAATCAGACGCTATTTTGACAATATGCCTTGAAGATTTAGAAAAGTTCTTAAATTATAATTGCTGTTTCTGCTGCTTGCTTTTGCTTCATTTACAATGTAGGAAGGGAGGTTTGAGTGAAGAAAGCACAATTAAACATAAGGAACATTTTAAATAGTATCTGGAAAATGGCACAAGATTGACCTTACTATTACCATTTGAGTCGACGGAAGTACAGCCCATATTAAGTAATGAATGAGGATTTAAACTTCTTAATCCCCCCTTAATTTCATTGAGGATACTAATTTGGGATCCTTTGACCGCCTATGTATTAATTAAAAAATCAGAAATCCCACACTTTCCTAATCCCCACCATTCCTTATACCTTCTGCCTGTAAAAGCCTCACATTTTGAGATTGATGATCCTTGAACTGGATAATCTACTATTGCTATTGGATATTATGGTTCGAGAAAAATTATGGTAAAACGAAACGAAAAATAATGTTAAATAATAAATCTAGTGTAATCGATCGAAATTTATCTTGGCGTATCTCGGTTTTCAAAATGAGTTTTTTATTTTGTAGCATACATTTGTATAAGATCATCATATAGATAACAAAAATAATCTTCATTTAGAAAATCTCAATTGTTTCTCGGCAAAAGATTTTTGATTCATAAGGATGAAATAAGAATGCATGCATACGATGATTACATATAAATAACGTAATGAAAAATTTTATGGTTTTTTTTTTTTTTTAAATTTTTTTAATTAATTAGTTTTTATATTATATTAACATTTACATAAATTATATTAATAATCATGATGATGTCAACCACAGAAATTAATCAATCAGATGATTACACATCAAAAAAAAATATATTGCTCACAGATCATGATGACGATGATTATGGTTTATTTCTGAAAAATAATTCCGACATTCCCAACCACAATTCTGACATTCCTAATTCTATATTGAATAAAAAAAACGCAAAACAACCTAGAACTTCAATAGATTCTGTTAGTTCAGAAAGAACACTAATTTTTGAAGAGCCAGACGAAGAATACTTAGTAAAAAAAGCATTAAATAATTCTTTAAATAATATTATTAATAATAATAGCAATAGTTGCTGTAGTCATTGTGGTAGAAATAGTGATAATAGCGGTAGCAGCAGCAGTAATAACATTAATAAAAATATTAATAATAAAATTAATAACATGAATAAGAATAATAATATCAACAATTTCGACAACATTAACAACACTAATAATAATAATAATATGAAACCGACGCAAAATTTACTTGATCAACGTATCAATAATGAATTTCTAGTGCTAATGATCATCATCTCCATAATATCATATGTCGTTGGATATTATGATTTGACTTTTGTTTGGGTGTTTCTTTTACTTTATCAAGGTATTTCGTGGTACGCAAACATGATCAAAGAAAATAAAGAAAGAATCAATTGGGGAATTAAACGAGAAGAGGCCATAGATAAGGTAATATATATATATATATATATACACACATTGTGTATGAACGAATAGATTAATGGATGAATGATCGAATGATTAAATGATTGAACGATTGAATGATTGAATGATTGAATGACTGAATAAAAACTAAATTGTTTTTTAATTTTTACAAAAAATAAATATAGTTGAAAAGAGGTGACGGTGAAACAGTTGAATGGTAATTTCTTATTAATCTTGACTTCAATTTACAAAAAAAAAAATTTTTTTTTAACATCATACATTTATCGATATTTTAAATATTTGTAGGTTAAATTATTTACTTCAACAAGTATGGAGAACATTTGATCCATCTTTATTAATTGGTCTTAGAGATATGTTAGAAGATGCAATGTCTCGTAGTGCCCCATCATTTGTTGTAAGCAAAAAATAATTTTTTTAGGTGATATTTGTTTGCTTTGATTATCTATAAATAGTAAAACCGATTTTTTTCCCAATATAGAAAGCAACAGATATCGAATCATTTGAAATTGGTTTAATTGCTCCAAGAATTGAAAAGTATTGATTTAATAAATCCACTACTTACGCTTACACTATTACTATTATTTTGAATGGAAATTAAAGAATATTAATCTTTTTTTTTGTTCTTTCAAAAAAAAAAAAAATCAATATAAATATAGTATAAAAATATTAGCAAGACGTGAAGATGAAGACGATGAAGATGTTGTTGTATGTATATTTAAATTTTTATTTTTAATTATTATATATATTATATTTTTTTCTTTCAATAATCGATCTCCCTAAATTCTATTTTTTTTTTAGATTGGTGAAGCAACATTTTCATTTAGAGCGAAATCATCAGCACATAAACCACAAGATTCTCCACCACATATATTAGCATGGATAAAAACTGGACTTTCAGCAACTATCCCGATCAAAGTTGAACTAACCGGTTTTGTTGCTTCGATTCATTTTGAAATAAAAATTACCGGCGGTCCACCATTTTTGTCGACTTGTAGATTTAGTTTTTTGAAATTTCCGATTTATGAAACTAGTATTATGCCTTTGATACCAATGAATATCGCTCAAGTATGTTTAAAAAATTGATTTTTTAAAAAAAAGCCTATTATTTAATTTACTTGTTTAAATACTTATCGTCACTTTTGTGTTTTTGTGCGTGTATCAAGTTCCCCATCATAAAACAATTTATTAGAAATACAGTGCAAACAGTTTTAGAAGAATTTACTTATCCAAAATTTATTGATATTGACCTTGAACAAATGCTATCGGGAGATGATAATTTACATGGTAAGATTTTTCCCTCTAAAGAGGAAATAAATATTTATTTTTACACCTGTGTCATTATCGTCATTGTGTAAATATTAATATCACTATCACTTGTCACAACTTTTTTTTTTAATAGATACTGAAACACTTGGAATAATGAGAGCAGATATTTACGAAGCAAGGAATTTAACAAAGGTAGATATGCACGGGGAAAATGACCCGTATGTGATGTTGTCACTTGATCCAGCACCATACGCACACACGCATATGTCAACTCGAGTGATAGAAAATTGTGCAAGTCCGATTTGGCATGAAACTTTTTTTCTCAAAATGCCACAAATGGATATTGTTGACGAACATATCAAGTTTAAGTTGGGTGTTATGGATTGGGATAGACTAACTACTGATGATCATATTGGATCGATGTGGATTGATATTAAAGATGCTATTGGAAATGGTGATAAACGAATCAAAATACATGATGGGTGAGTGGTGTTTTTTTTTGGAGGTTGGAGGTTGGGTAGGCAAAGAGGGGAGGATAAAATAGAGTATTTTGGATTAATTTGGTTAAAAATTGAATTTATTTATTTCATATTTTTATAGTTGGGCAACTCTTCATCAGAAACCAACAGATCCAGTTTCTCATGGTCAACTAAAATGTAGACTTGAATTTTTCCCAAAATTACCTAATGATATGACTGATCCTTCTCTAACTGGTAAAATTCAATACTATTCGTTTACATTGTTTATGTATATTTAAATAGTTATATATTCATATTACATATATATATATACACACACTAATACACTTATACACTTGCGCGTATATAGCTGGTATTTTAGGTTTACAAATTCATCAAGGAATGAATTTACAAATAACGGCTGCACCATATAATGATGATTCATCAACAATATCAATGGCTGATAATCATTATAATGTAAGTTATCCAAATCCATACGTGGTTGTCTATTTGAATGATGCTATAGGTAAGAAAAAATTTTATGAGCATTAATTAAACATTTTCTTTTCTTCAAGAGCTAATGTGGGGAGAGATCAATAGGTCCTTTAATATTAACTTTTAAATTATTTTACACGTTTCTTTATCATTTATATAATGTATAAAGTATATCGTACTAGAGCAAAATTAAACAATATTGCACCATATTGGAATGCATCAACAGAACAATTCGTCAAAGATTGGAGGAAAGCAATAGTAAGAGTTGTAGTCAAAGATCAAAAGGATTTAGAGTATGATCCTGTTATTGGTATGGTTACTATACAACTCAAAGACATATTTGATAAAAAAGATAAAAAGGTAAATTATAAACCATTTTCGATGAAAGAATATTTATTCATTCAAATTTTGTAAATGGACATATTAATTTATATTAATCTAATATTAATAGAAGGAATTATCAAAATGGTATCCACTTCGTCATGGAGTAGGATGTGGTAAAGTGAGATTGAGCTTTCTATTTAAAGCTATTGATATAAAATTGCCACCTGAAGAAAGGGGATATGATGTCGGAACATTATTTGCTCATTCGTTTGTTGCAGAAGATTTACATACTTCTTCAAGAACAAGTTTGTATTTTTTTATTTTGTGTCATTTTAAACAATTATATTTTATTTAATATTAAAAAATTTTTTTCGCATAAATGTAGAACAAAACTTATATTTAGTATTATCGTTAAATCAATCTGAAATTAAACTAACAACCCAAGTATCAAAAAGCTCAAATCCACCAACTTGGTTATGCAATAATGACAATAACAACGATCAGTCAACATCACATTCAAATGACAATAACCAACAAGAACAATTTCAAGTAGCAATATTTAAAAGATACAGAGCATCATTAATTGTCAAGGTGAAACGTAGAGGTATATTTGGAATGAATTATACGGTGGGAGTGGCGGAACTTCGGCTAAAAAATATTACAGATTGTTCGGAACAAGAAATTGAAGTACCAATTTTTGAAGGTTATGACCCTAATTCTATACTCGAAAATGATTTCAAAATAATTTCTGGTGGAAATGATGATCTCGATGATTGTGGAAATGGAAGTGAGCAAGAAGGCGTAAAAAAAGGTAATAGTGATAATGATAATGTAGGCAATAAATCAAGAACCACCGCTTCTTGTAATAGTAGTGCTGCTAGTGCTACTGGTGACAGTAGCAAAAAAGCAAAATCACTATCTAGTAAAGTTGATGGCTTTGCGGACAACGCTAACAACTGTGATGACGATAATGACGATCAACAACAGCATCAAGAAGAAGTATCTAATTCAAAGATTGATAATAATAATAATAGTGGTAGTCATCAGAATTATTCCAACAACATCACTACTCCAAACTCTCCAACCACCACCACTACCACAATCGCTGACAATTCTACAAGCACTTCAGCTACTATCGCCAATGCTTCCAATAACTCCACCAGCGCTGTGAATAATCATAAACATAAGGTTATTGGCCATTTAAAATTCAAAGTCTACTTTAAACCAGGTTTATCATTAGCACACGAAGAAGATGTTAAAAAGAAATTGACCGGTGCAGATATAAGCATTCTATTTAATAATTCCAATGATAATAATAGTCCTAGTAGTACAGTTTGTGGTGACTATGAATCATTTATTCATAATAATAATAGTACTTTGAATAACGATAGATCAATAGCTTCATCATCATCATCATCGGCGGAAACAACATTGTCTAATAATAATAGGGGTGAACGAGATGATATGATGTCAACAAGAGAAAGGGAATTACGTAAATGTGGAAGTGGAGGCGAAGTTGGATCCGATGAAAGAAGAATTAATAGAGTACATAGTCACAAAACTATGAGACAATTACAATGGTTTAAAGATTTACTTAAAGCCAAAGTTGTTTTAATGACAGGTAAAAGAAATTGGGAAGAATATGATAAGGTTGAACAAGAACTTTAAAAAAAAAATTCCACTGCTTAAATTAATATATATTGTTAAAATATAACTTACTTCTCTTAAAAAAATATGAACTTTTTAATCAAAAAAAAAAATTACCACTACTCAAACTAATATATATATATATATCGCTAAAATATAACTTTTCTTAAAAAATATTAACTTAGTAAAAAAAAAAAAAAGCATATTTTTATGTATTATATTTATAATTAACGAAAATTCATTTTCATGTACAAACATTTAAAATAGTTTTTCATTGCAAATAAATATACGTACGCGTAGATTTAAAGCGTCAGTTATCGAGTACTTTTTTTTATTTGTCAGTTGGAGTTAATCCAAAGTCAATGGTATTATTATAATGAATAGCAAAAATGAACATACCGATTATTTGGAATATTAACACCATTTTGATGTGGGTGGTGTTTGCATTTGCTTCCTTGTGTTAAACTCTAATCCGTTTTAATTTCTTCCCAAAATGCCGAAAATCAAAAAAGGATCTTTCTATAGTGACGCTGAAAAGCTCCAAGTTTTACAATTTACCTTTATGTAAAAAATAAGAAAATCAAAAATATGTAGCAAATTCACACTGATGCCTATATTCAAGTGATACTTATATTCCATAATACAGCATGTATTTTCCTCTCGGTCAAATCAAAATAAATAAAACGTTACTTATCTTTTCGTTATTTAATCCTTCCCTTGAATGTGAATGAGTGAATACCTCGCTCCACTATTGTATCATATCTATTACAATATTCATATTCATGATTATGTAAATGCATTTGATGTCATTATTCGTAATAAATAATTGCATTGACCAAGTAATAATAATACTAAGACCATGCAGAAATGAAAAAAGTCACACAGAGATAAATAATTAAATAATTAATTATTTTACCAAAATTATTTTTTCTCCCCAATTGTACATACATACATACATACAATTACAAGTTGCGACAGGTAGAAAGAATTCCCTTAAAAATCATTTCCAAAATTCCATAAAAATAAATCTGATATTGATATCACGCAGGTGTCAGATTTAATAAAATTTTCCTTCCACAAAGATGCAGTTAGGCGCTATCGCACCCCTTCACACTGTAGAAGTTCCACAGATAGAAGGATCCCACATCTTAGGAGGCATTGACAAATGTGTAGGAGGCTTTAACAACCCCTTTTGACAATAATGCAATTTTCAACGAACTTCAGGGCCGCGCTCTCCCCCTGAAATTTAAATGCATATCGTATCGTCGGGGGAACAAGTCAGATTAGCCTTTTGCACACAAGAAAAAGAGAACGATCGTAATTTTTTAAATATTTTCAATTTCCAATCTGTTGCTCGGTATTTCCAAGTTGTCCAAGAGCAATTTCCACCTCTTTCAATAGTCGTGTCGCCTTTTTTCCTTTGACAATTTCTTAATATTAATAATGTTTATAAAAAATAAATCTGATGTTAATCATACAGGAGTCAGATTTAATGAAAATTTCCTTTCACGAACATGCAGTTAGGCGCTATTGCACCACTTCACACTGTAGAATTTTCCACAGATCAGAAGGATCCCACATGTTAGGAGGCTTTGGACAATGAAAAGGCTTTAACAGCCTTTTTGACAACACAATTCACTCTAACTAAACTTCAGGGCCGCGCTCTCCCCCTGAAATTAAGTGCAGGTCGTATCGTCGGGGGAACAAGTCAGATTAGCCTTTATGCACATAAGGAAAAGAGAACGATTGTAAGGTCATTTAAACGCTTGAGATTGATAATAAATCTCGTTCCACGTTTATATGATGTTGGGCTATTTTATAAAAAAAAAAAAATAAGATGTTAAATAAGGTATATATATTAATACAAAAAGAATACTTCTGGTTATTAAAAAATAATATTTCTTCTCATACCAGTAATACTTTTGATAATTAAATATGAATGAATGCCCATCTCTCTCTCTCTCCATCCCAGACCAGATCTTCGTTTAGAGAAAAAAAAAACAGTTGCGTAATTTCATCTATGTACCACAAATTAATGTGACATTGATATTAAATTTCATTGGTCAACTTCATTGGGAGAACATATATACCAATTTCCAATTGGAATTTGTCAAATTTATTGGAACCATAAATGGCACAACACTATGGAAAGATATCACAAGCAACAAAAAAAAAACAGAAATAACAAACAGAGCCAAGTAAGACACCCTGATTATCTGTGGTACATGTGGGGGACCAAAGAAAAATATCATTTTGAATTTTTTTTATGTTGAAGTTTCATATGGGCCAAGAGCACAGGGATCACAGCTTATCTAACATGTTAATGAAGGTAGAATACTGTTAGGAAAACTAACTAAAGAGTTTTGGAACCATATGCTTCAACATATTCAACTCAATACTAAAGATGGAAACTGCAATTAGCCACAATTCAATTTCATATGCCACAACCACAACCACAATTCAATTTTTATATGCCACAATTACCGTAAAGTTCGGAAAGACAGCATCCCCTTTTTACATATGTGTAACGGTTTTTTTATATTGACGCTCAATTGTTCTAAAGTAGGGGGTGCTATCTTTCCAGACTTTACGGTAGTTGAAGAAACAGAATATAGGAATAGATAGGAATAATATATATATATACAACTTTGCGATCCTTTTTTCAAAAATACAATCTCCTGGTTTGAATGTGTTATTTGATGTATCTGTCTTTGATTAATTTTTCTGGGACATTTCTTTGTTTTCTTGTTGCTTTATATAATGTATTACAGTGCTAACGCCAATTTCTCCATCACCAGTATTTGATGAGAATTCCTTTTTGTTGCATAACTGAAACATTGTTGATTTTTTTTCCCACTTTTTGATGTAAAAGAATCATGATTCTCTCTTGTAGATGCCATTATATCAATTGCATCAACGGGACTTAAATACCATTACCTTCGTGTGTAATATTTTTGATCAAATAAAAAATCCCCTTTTTTGTCTTCATTGTAATTGGTACAGTCTACTCTCCCTATAGCGACCGCTAAGCAAGATTTCTCTATAACGAACTTCCCTTTTGTCCCCGTTTCAATTTTTTATAATTAATTTCTCTCTCTATAACAACCATATTAATAAACTCTCTCTATAACGACCAAAAGCAGAGAAATTACATATAGGGACAGAGGGTTCGTTATAGAGAGAGTGAACTGTATACAGTCAAACCTCGCCAGTTATTATTATGATGATCGGCAAGATTTTTTAATATACTATATATATAATAAATTAAGAGAATTGTTATTCGCACCCCTCCCGTGACTAAGTGTAGTAATGTGACCAATGAATGGCTTTAAGATGTGATGATTTTATTGGATCATCTTTGTCTTAGTCAAGGAGGGGTGCGAGTAACAATTCTCTAAATTAAATATAGTTGGCTTGGTCTAAAGACCTCCTAAATTTTGGGAAATTTTAAAAGTATAGAAGTCACTTTCTGTCCTACCTTTTAAAAAGATAGCTCCATTAGTTGATAGAATATGAATTTAGTTTTAATGTAATAGAGGGATTTTCTCAAAAAAATTATTTCTATTTTTTAAAACATGTACTTTACTATGCTCGCGAGGAATTTGTCCGCTATGATCATTTCTAAATTTAAGAAAACTATTACCAAATTTAGACTAGTTCTTGACTATCGTATCTAAATTTGACAGTAAGAAAACTAAAATCACGTGAAGTCCTATTTTTGAAAAAATTTTATTACGAATTACAAAATTGCTATTTTTGAAAAATGATAATAGATGCGGAAATTAAAATTATTTTTTGAAATAAAATGTAATATTTGGTTGTATTAGTTTTTCATTATCTAATAATTTCACTTTTCAATGATTTAAATGCTTTAAATTCTTTATAATCTAATTGATTTTATTATGAATCTTTAGGGAAAATGATCTTGTTGTTTTAAAAATTGATAAATGATCTATCAATTGTTTTATTTTAAAAACTTGGAAAAAGTTGTTACTCACAAACATTTGGACAAGTAATCTATCAATTGTTTGTATTGGTATATTTTAAAAAGTTTGTTATGGATAAAATTGTTTGTTTGATTACTTTATTTATTTATCAATTTTGGTAATTGGATAATTTCATAAATTGATATGACACGTGAATCCGCTGTGAAGAGACTAGTAGCCATATTAATATAGAAAGACCCCCATCAAAAATCCGTTAATATTAATAAAAAAAAGGGGTCACCGTTGTAACAAGAAATCTGCCGTGATGAGATATTGAATTTTCTTGTAATCATTTTGACGAATAGTGTCAACACAAAAAAAAATTTGTTCGCTACAAATCTTTGTATTTCAATTTTGCTTTTATCCCTTACAATTTGCTATTTGCAGTCAACAGATTGTAAATTAGATTGTAAAAACGGTTTGTGGAGAATTTTCTTTTTAAAAACAGAACCAAATATCTTATGGTGTTCTATTCGGAAATTAAAAGAATTGCTAAAATTAATAATTAATATAATGAACTTGGTCATTAACTGTATATAAATATTGAATTTGGAATTTATTTATTAATTTCCCACAAAAATTTTTTTTTTAAGTTTTGAGTCGTGTATAAAAAAGACTTGGCATGCGTACAATTTATTTATATTTATATTTTATCAATCTACTTTATCTCCTTTATAGAAAAGAAAGACGAGAAGAACATAAAATAAAAAATTGTTTTCTTATTAACATTACAAATATGAATATTAATATTTAATATATTAGTCAAACGATATGTAATTTACATTTAGAAAATCCGACTCGTTTAATAATAAATCAGTTTTTTTTAAAATATTTCATTATTTTTATAACAAATTCAAACATCATTATTAATTAAAAATAAAACTATAACATTATAGCTTTCTAATGAGTCCTCTCCCATATTGATATAGGCTCTCTATGTCAAGCTATATTTATTCAAAAACAGCATTACTTTTTACTTCAAAGCTAAGATTTTTTACCAATATTACCTTTATAAGCTTGGTGAGTGGTTGAAAA